GCATTTATCTTATTTTTAATTTCTTTAAATATTAGAGTGCTATCTATATTACTATCATCATCATCATATTTTTTTAATATAATTTTTAGAATTTATATATTTATTAAATTTTACTATAATTTAAAACATTGATTTGATTATTAAATTTGAAATCTTAATGTTGATTTAATTGTTAAATCCTATTGAGTCTCTTAGTACTAATTTAATTTTTATAAGATTCCTTATATTTCTTATTGTATAACTTCAAAGACCTATTTAATTCTTATATTACAACCACTATTTATACTTATAACTTTAATTAAGTGTTTCTTTCTATGAAAATTTATTCGTTTTTAAGTAAGTAAAAAGAAGAGATTAAAAATAAAAAAAATAAAAAAAATAAAAAAAAATTATAAATTTCTTTAAATATTTTTAAAAAATCGTAGTAGTATTAATGATTTTGAGATTTTGTAAAGTAGATGAAAAGAGGACTTGAAACACTAATTGAAATACAATAAAAGGTAGTAGATAGGAGTTGGAATTGGTAGGCTAAAAGTCCCAAAACAATTTAATCTTAGAATTGGTAGAAGCTTCTTGGCTTTTTGATGCATCTAAGTCATTTTTAATTCTAAATTAAAACAAAAGTAATAAAAATCAAACAAAATTTTAAGAAAAGATTTATCTAAAGCTAATAATCTAAGATATTTCAAATTTATAAGAAATAAAAGAATTTTCAGCTATTATATAGTATTTGATGATTTTTTTATATAAAAAATAAAAAATAAAAAAATAATATATCAGTAAATAGTTTGTATATTATGTAGATTAGTGCTATAAGTCTATGGTTTGGAAGTTGCATTGGATTTTCTTAAACATTAGTATTCTGAACTTGCTTGTTTATTTCTTGTATAAATCCAATAATATTCTTCTATGGATAATGTCATACTTTGCATGTATAATTTGGTAGATATTATTATTGATGTATGCATGTATTTACAATAAGAGCATTGGTTACAAATTGTTATACAAATATATTTTTAGAAATATCTACAAGATTGATTAAGATGTGTTTATTACAATCAATTAGGCTATATTATGATGGATTTTTTTTTTTTTTTTAAAAAATCCTTATTATCTTTCTTTGACTAAGTATTGATTGAGTTTTTGAATGTTTTAAAATAAAACAATGTATTGATATAAGGTCTTTTCATATTTTTCAAGGCTTTCTTAGTAGAAATTCTCTAAATAAATTGATATTAGGAATTAGATTTGAGAGAATTATGTATGTTTATTGAATAATTTGAGATATTAGTAATTTGATGTCACCTAATATATGACTAGCTATGATCAATTAATCTTGTATGAGTTGTTTATAAAGTTATAATAGTATAGTAAAATTAACAATTTGTGTAAGATATTTAGAAAAGAATTATAAGTTGAATTTCTTAAGGTTTTTTAGAAGAAATGAGATTTAATACTATTTTATTATTGTCTTTGGGGTGTGGAAGTGGTCTTGCTAGTAGCATATTAGCTGAAATTGTTATTGTAATTAGAAAGTAATATGAATTTTGTAATATGTCTTTGCATTGATTCCTAATGTGTAGTTAAGATTGTTTGGAGTTTTTATGTCAAAACCATCAATAAGACTTGTATTAGAGTAGTTTAATCCATCTTGCTTTATAAATTTTGTATTTATTTTTGCATATTGAAGTTGTAATGTGTTTATATAAACTTGCCATTGGAAATCTATATATTGTCATAGAATAATAACGTAGTTGTAAGTACGACCTATAAGAACTATTGTGCCTTTTGATGTTGTGACATGATTGTTGCCTCTAGTTCTCTTGTATTCTTTGCCACAATTTTTAATTGAGGAAGTGTAATAAGTGCCATAATTGTCTACCATGTAAATCTAATCTCTGTAGACATGAGTTAGTAGGTGGGGTATTAGTTGTATTGTCCCGAAGAGTGTATTGTAGTATAATTCAAATATTAAATCTATTATGATTGAACAAAATCTAAATAGGTATATATTTTTGAGAAATGTGTTGTTATACTTATTTCTATTGATTTTGAATAGACTTAAAATCTAACAATAGAATCAAAGTAGTAGACTAATATTGAACCATATTGCAATGTTGTCATTGAATCTATTGTACATAAATGATTGAGTTGGCAATGATTTTTCGTGGACAACTTGTGTGTAGGCTATCTTCCAATTTTGTGTCGAGTTGGATACCCAGTGCTTGTTCTTTGCGGGTATCCTAAGACTCAGCAAGTTAACATTGAAATGATGGAGTAGGTGGTTAACACTTGTGCTTGTCACTGTATTTCATTACAGATTTTTTGGTGTGTCTATTATGTCTTCTTTTGTGTTTGGATTTTTTGCGGTGCCTAATGCAGACAAGTTTCTAATGCATTTGTGTCGTTTGGGGACCAGAGTTTCATGGCACACAGAGTTATGGAGTACTGTGATTTAATCTGCATCTTGACACCGGATGCAAAGAATAACACGAATGAGGGATATGGGGTGTAGTAGACTTACGTGATAGGTTGTCTGCTTCGAATTCGATTAGGTGTTGGAGCTCGCGACACTGTGATGTATTGTTTGCTCTAAGTTTGATTGGGTGTTGGAGGTTGCGTCTGTGGGATGTGTTGTCTGCTCCGAGTTTGGTTGAATGTCAGAGCTCACATCGGTGTGATGTGCTATCTGCTCCCAGTTTGATCGGATCTTGGAACTTGTGTCAATGTGAATCGTAATGTTGCACCTATTCTTTTTTGTTTGATACAATGTGTGAGCCGAATTGGGACGTCTGTAGTATGAGGAGGCTTGTCACTTGCACTAGCAGCACTAGAGTTCCACTTCCAGGCTACTGGTCCATCCCCTTGTGCAATTTATCGAGTACCAGTGTGGTACAAATCTGGATTCCTCCAACACAAACCCAACATGCCTCAGATCGATTTGCTTACTAGTTTTTGAACCACACTAGGACTATTGTAGATTTAGATCTACTCAATTCAATTGTATCCCTCCCTACATATTGATTGGTGCTCCAGCTCAAAATAACAAGCATTCTATGCAATCTTGCGTCTACCATTGCTATTTCAGTTAGGCTCCCGGGCTTTCAATGAGTTATTTGTCGTCGATGTAAAGCAGCCTATTCTCTTGGCGACCGAAAACATGAACCTTCAACACTTGAGGAGTCCTTTCAGGGTTTAGAGATTCAACTACATCTCCAAAATGTCGAGAAACAAGTATATCGAATTCGATTAAGATTAACCCATTCCGACCCATGTCCATACAAGGAAATCCAATAGAGCCTCGACTTAAATTTTTGAATAAGAACGTTGATGAGGAATTATATCTCTTTCCAGCTTGCGTCACGGGGGTGGATTAAGCAGGACACCCAATCAACAATCCTCCGAGCCTGTGGTAGAGACTAGGTTTAGGGTTTAGGGTACTACAATTGCAAGCAACCCCCTTGTAATTTACTGTGATGGGTTTCTCGAAAATGATACACCCACACTAAATACATTTACATTCAATATTCCAACATGTATACCATCCAACGGCATAATTCATGTATTCCTATGCTCATTCGATAATCCTGTTAGAGGGGATCCAGGAGAGATCGGATAAGCATAGAATTATTATTATTATTTTCATAAATTTCTAAAATCAACCTAACAATATATTTTTCTTTGAAAGTTATGTTCAATCTTGTAAATCAACTACTACCTCACATTTGCATTATCATTGAATTAATATGATAATAGATTTCATTTTGGTTTAGTTTGTAAATTTTTAAATTTAATTTTATGTTATATTATTTAAAATAGAGTAGAATATTTAGTGTTGTTGGAAGCATTGACTTTTATGACTAAGACCTATGTTATGCATATTACAATATTTAGTGGGAACAAGATTGAAGTAGAGAAGAATACATGAACATCCTCCTTCAAGAAATTCAATATTTTGGGCTTTAAAGTCCTCACACAAGAGTCAAGCTCCAAATCTTCATACAAGTAGCTCTTTGGTATAAGTTATTAAAAAATTACACAAATTAATGTTTGTATATTATTCAAAAGAAGTATAAAATATTTACTATATAATTTTGTTTTAGGTACTTATCACAAAAATAAAACCTTGGTGTCTATAATAAATACTATAATAATAGTTGTGCACAATCTACTTTGTTTCTACCAATAACTATAACAAAATTTAAGAGCCCACAAGAGATATCAAACAACAAGTACTTATAAAAATAGTTGGAAGTTGTATCTATTTGAATCAATTGTTTGTAGAACATTCTACTCATCTAAATAAATTGTATGATTGTCTCTTTATCAAGTAAAATTAAATGGAGTAATTTAAGTCTCCCACATTCGCCGCATACTCTACCCTAAATTTGATTCCCACACCTGCGGAAGCTACCGACATGTTAGCATTGATGGCTTCAAAGGAGGGGAAGAAGAGGATGTCCAGGAAATACAGGAGCCTTACATTTAACAACTGTTTTTTGTGATGAATTGTATTCCTAATGGGAAAGAGTGAAAGTATTGAAATGCATACACACTCCTTCCGCTGAATGTCTGCGAAACAGCGACCTTGTTGTGCAGGAAGAGTAGCCAAACCCTTAGTTTTCAGCACAATCCTGAGAGCTGCAGGCAGGGCCTCATGGAAGTTCTTGCAGGGGCTTGAGGTTGAGTTTGGAGATCCAGATAGATTAGCAAAAAGGTAAGAAATGGGTTTTCACTGTAGATCAAAAAATAAAATAAAAAGAAAAAAAAGAAACATATCGATTCAAAACAAATAAACAAAATGTTTTCTGCGAGAGGGCGACCCAGATGAAGACATTTCACCATGCTGAAGAAGCACAAAAGACAGGAGAAAGGGAAAACGGCATCGTGGAGAGAGGATCAAAGGAACCTGTAAATCTAGTTTCCGACAAACTGTACCGCTGATAACTTCAAGTCCTGGGAAAACGTACATACAATTGTGTGTATCTATGATGTGTTTAGGAATTGATGCTGCTGCAGTTGGACTTCTCCGTCAGCAAAGCAGTTAGCATTCGCGAATGTTAGAATTCGTAGGCTAAAAAATATTCTGATGAGGTAAACAGTCAAACGCCTCAGAATATTATGCGACATAGCAGACGCAGGCCTCCAACAACCTTTCCATGTTTTTCACGAGATAGGGTGTGTGGTTAAGAAGCTTAAAATGCGTTTAGCTTGAGGCCATGTTGTAACTCTCTATTGACGCTCTAGAATCTGAATCATCTTTGTGTTCAAGTGCGAAGAGTTGATGTAAGCTACTTGTGTTCAATTTGTCTGCGTGATTTGCCATTTCCACATCATTCTCTTCGTAAGCGTTTTTTACCAGCTCCATGTTAAAGTAGGTCGACAGTTACTGCGGGTCTCGTCTCTCTTCTAAAATCAGCCCAGGCTTTTTTTTTGCACCTGGCACACCAGCTTTGAATTCTGTTCTTCAACGGACTCTTGACTCATATGTGGGTGCAAGTGTCGACGAGGAGCATTTCCAATGTCGAAACCACTGTGTTGTTGTGAGATAGCGGGGGCATGGATAACGAAGCCTAGACGAACCGCTTGGCTCATCCAGTGCAAGGAGGACTTGAAAGCGGGCATAACATGACTCGTAAGTGATGTCCATGGTACTGTAGCAGCGACGAATAGAGTTAATCGGTGGCCTTTGACTGCTTACACTCCGCCTCGTCTGTCTTTTGCGAGAGGTGAAGGTCACAGCTGCAGCCCAAGAGTTTCAGGGAAAGATTTTGTTATTCATGATCGTCAGTCGTCAGTACTGCAGCCTCTGCGTGCTTATGCACAATGACTTGTACACATTTCGAAAGAAGAAGAAGTAGTAGTAGTAGTAGAATCAGTAATAGTCATAGTGCAACGTATATGTAGAGAAGCAATGGCATCAATTTCCTGTTGTACACACAAGGTCTTTAATCTGTATGTAGCTTTTCCAGCAATGAACGAGGCAGAAGACCCACAGAGCTGCTAAACCCTAAGGTTGGATTATATCAGAGGAGGTACTCGAGTTGATTCTGGCTGTGGATGAGCATTTGTTGCCAACTCTGACATTTGAATGTGACGCGTGAGCTGTGGGATCGTCGAGGTTTGGAAGGAGAATGAATTGTGAGTGTTTGGGTTCTTGAAAATTGGGTAGCGATTGGGTTTGTGACTTTTAATAGGGTTTCAAATGGCGACATTGGCAACGGGTGTGAGCTCCAAGCAAACTCTCGTGCAGTCACAATTGAGTGTCTTCGGCAGTCGTTCATCACAAAACAGTAAATCGGATGTGCGGCGATGGTCACACAGACCCGCTCTTTCGAGCTGCTTCTCTGGGCCTCGTTGTGTGGGGTTATGGCGACAACACATTGAGCAGTGTGCACCACTTCGTTCGGAATCCTCAAAATTGAACAAGGATTGCATCAGATGCAACGCTGAAATTGGCTTCACTCAATATGGCCAGCCACACACATCTGTGCAGAATGCACTTGCTAGCAGAAGCAATTTGTGTGTGGAGTTTTTCTACCCATCTTGCTCTTCGAAGACGGCAAAGCAGTCGACGAGAGTCTATTGTTGGTCGAGTCAAGGTAGGCAGGCACATGAGAAGAACAATGTATACTCTGGGAACGATGGATACCCTGCAGTGGTCAATGTACCGTATGTAAATTGGTTTCGAGAAGCCTGGCCTTACATTCAGGGGCATCGCGGGAGCACTTTCGTGATTGTCATACCCGGCGAAGTTGTTGAAAATAGAAATGCTCTTGAGAGTATCCTTCAGGTGCGTTGTGTACAGCAGCTTGGGCTCTATAGTTGGTGAGATTGTCGTTTGTCATCAAATTTTCAAGTGTTGAATTTGTTGACGGGGACATTGTTTCTCTATTTCTGGGTTTAACATGCATCTGTATCGCTTTGCAGGACATATCTCTTCTTCATGGACTTGGCATCAAGTTGGCCATTGTGCCAGGCTCACACATCCAAATTGACAAGCTCTTGAAAGAAAGAGGTAAATATTCTCTTCCTGCTCTACTGTAAGTTTTAAAGTCGCGCTTTTCCCGATTTTTATTGAGTCATTTATGGACATTGTAAATTAATATGAATCTAACACTGAACTAGGATGTTTGAAGCACATCTGTTTACGAATAATCAAATTTAGCAATATAAAAAGTACTTTCTGCACTTGTAGCACTCGAGTACACTCACTTTAGTCTTGTTACTTTTTTGAAATCTTCACGTATTCAGCACAGCTGCGCAGTTGCATTGTTATAGTTGGATTTTGGCTGATTGATGGAGATTCTCTTTTCTATCAAATCAGGGCTTGCGCCAGAGTACGTGGGGGCTTATCGAATTACCGACGACCAAGCCTTGCAGGCTTCAATGGAAGCTGCTGGCAAGATTCGTTGTAACATCGAAGCGAAGCTTTCGAGGGGACCTTCTATTCCAATTCTCCGACGTCACGGTTCCAGCGACAGACGGCATGAAGTGGGTGTGAGCATCTCAAGCGGCAATTTCGTTACTGCCAAGGTAATCAACCTTATGCCATGTTTCATTGCAGTATAATTAGAATGCCACCTTCTTTGTTAAAATGTGGGAGGAGGAATATGTATCGTGTCTACTTATCTTTTTTCCCTTTTTTTTTTTCCTTTTTTTTTTTTTCCTTTTTTCTTTGTATAGTTTAGGTAGTATCACTAAATCTGAACCAGGCTTCTTGAGATCCCGAGGAAAGTAAATCCTCAAATATTAGGTCTTCCGGGGTCATTTAGAAGTAGATTGCTAGTGGAAAGACGCACTCGTATGTGTAGAGACATTCTCTAAAGTTTCGGTTTTTACTTAAACGTAGTGATGTGTTTATGGTTTTACAGCCAAGAGGCGTGGTGAATGGCATTGATTTCTTATCCACCGGAGAAGTGAAGAAGATCAATGTTGCCCGAATCAAAGAACGGTTAGACAGTAACTGCATTGTAATTCTCAGCAACTTGGGATACTCGGCCTCTGGCGAGGTCCTCAACTGTAAGTAAGTGCCATCAATACAGTCTTTCCATGTTAACGCCACAAGTTGCTATCGGGCTTTCGATGTTATGTTACTGGATATACTACAGGAATATGCCGTTTTGCCCTTGCAGATGGTACGAAGCAAACTGTAAAGCATCGACTTGGAACTTGAATCTTAGTATGTCTGATTTCTCAACGCTTTCTCTTGCAGCACTTATGAGGTGGCAACAGCTTGTGCAATAGCCCTTCAAGCCGACAAACTTCTCTGCTTATTGGATGGCCCTGTATGCGATGAAAATGGGCGTTTAATAAGGTTTATGACCTTAGAAGAAGCAGATAAACTTATACGCAAGCGTGCAAGGAAGAGCTATACTGCTGCTGACTACGTGAAAGCTGTCGCTGGACCAGGGTACGTAAAAAGCTTGGGTCTTGAGACGAAGGGCAATGGTGCTTTACTGGAGGATGCCGATACTAGTAACTTTGAGTTGACGAATGAGGCCAATGGTACAAATTTGACTGGAGATGATCAGATTGATTCTTATGTCAGCGATGGTATATACAAGCTGGATAGCTCATATATGGCCCAGACACAGGGGTATAGTACGACCCGACAGGGTTTTGCTATTGGAGGACATGAGCGGATGGTTGGAACGCATGCATACTTATCTGAGCTTACCGCGGCTGTCTTCGTTTGTCGAGTAAGCACTGATTTGTATTTCATTCATGGTAATCAATGGTTTCAGAGCTTTTAGTGCTTGATTTATGCACTGCTTCCGAATGAGGACTATCAGTTTTAGAAGCTTTCTTCTTTCCTTGTTTTTTGTACATACTTGGTTCTTCAACAAAGTGATCAATTTCTCATGGAATTAATGGTCAGTACGAAATAACTGTTTGAATTTTGTCTAACGTGATGGTGTGTTTTTGAAGGGCGGTGTGGGTCGTGTACACTTATTGAACAGTAACATTCAGGGAGCGTTGCTGCTGGAGCTCTACACTCGTGATGGTGTTGGAACAATGATCGCAAGGTGCATTGCAGAGTTTTGCACTGGTTGATTCATCTTTCAAATGCAATATCTAATATTGACTGATATTTGGTGATATGATCCATTTTTGGATTTTGTCTTTTCTTCTCATCCGTAAGAGTTCCTCTGTCCATCGTTTGGCCCCTGTAACTCCTCGGTTTATCGTGATGATTACAACAGCGATATGTATGAAGGCACGCGTCCAGCTAACACAAACGATGTGGTTAGTATAGAGCAGCTGCTTCGCCCTCTGGAAGAAAATGGGGTATTGGTCCATCGTTCTCGTGAGCAGGTGAGCTTTATAATCACATCACACTTCGGTGAGAACAGTAGCCTGATGACTGTGGCTTTATTTTACGTGTTTTCTTTGTTAATATATGTATGGAAGCAGGCATACAGCCTGGTTTCCACGTTCAATTACCTATATCTGATGCATAGGAGAGATTTGAACATTTGCACAGAGGTCTTGAAGACGTTTCAGCGCTTCAATTGAAGTCCTAGAGAAAATTTCGTGTTTAGTGTTGCTTTCCTTTCAATGATATAGTAGACTGAACTTTGCTTATTTATTAGTGAAATTTACTTCAACCAATGTTTACATTCTCTGGCTGAATGATTATTGCAGCTGCTGCAAGAGTTGGATTCGTTTACTGTGGTGGAGAGGGATGGCTCCGTGATAGCATGTGCTGCACTTTTGCCTTATTCGAAGGAAAAAAGTGGAGAAATTGCTGCATTTGCTGTGGCACCAGAATGTCGTGGCCATGGCCGTGGAGACACCTTGCTCGGTAACTGCTTTTACCTGCTTTTTAAGTGAGCATATGGATCATCAATTTGTGATCGACACTTCTCAATTATGGAGGTTTGAAAGGTCTGTAGTGAGTTGCAATAACAAGCTTCAGTAGGCCTTAAGTTAGTTCTTAAATGTGGTTTCCTCCAAGTGCAGAGAGTGTTCATTCTATGTGCCTTATTGTCTCAGGTTTAGAGCACAACTTGCAACTAGAAAACTAGTTCATCCACGAGTTCAGGGACACGAATCAATTTGCGAAACTGAAAGGTCTACATGTCTAGTGTAACCTCATCGAATGTCATGAAAGGTGATATTGATGACATGCATCTTGTCTGCGCAGATTATCTTGAGAGAAAAGCAGTGAAGCTGGGCTTGGAGAAACTTTTTCTTCTTACAACCCGCACTGCTGACTGGTCAGCTGTTCATCTATTCTGTTCTTTTGCTCCCCTTCATCACAAATTAGGAATTCTTTCGTGTCCAGGACTTCTGTATGATATGTTGAGATTGTTTGCTCCAGGTTTGTACAACGGGGATTTGCGAAATGTGAGCTCGATGCACTTCCACAAGAGAGGCAGGCCCGAGTCAATTTTTCACGGGGCTCTAAATATTATCTGAAACATCTACAGCTCGATCTTCTCGAGGCAAGTCTATCTAAGATCCCCACTGCGGACCCCTCAAATCAGCAGTAGTCTTGATTCAGCATTTTCCCACTAATTTTTACGAGTAAGCTGTGAAGAAGCGGACCGCTTTCTGTATGTCGTGTTTCAACTTCGTTGTGATCTTATCTGTAAAAACTCCATTAGTCATCTTTTCCCTAGAGTCAGATTCTGAACGGCACGATACTAAAATTCAAATCGGTTGGTTATTCAAATTGGGCTGCACCTCTCTGGGGATCTAGAATTTAATCGACTAAATATATTCATGAGTACAGGATTAGGAAGGAGGCTGTGCAGGGGTTGTTCGTTGCAGTCACCTTAGGGAATAAGGTATCGACATTTCGAAGACGGAACACAATTGTGACCTCCAGCAAATTTCTGCATCTCGCTCATTTAAAGTTTGTAGACATGAGGCTCTTCGCACCCAGTCCCCATTACCCATAGGACGGGTGCAAAGTATAGTGTGTTCAAGAATGTTGCTGAGAAATGCAGGATGAAATGGACGACCACCCTTCCATTGATTCAAGCATATCTATATCCCACTTAATGACATATCTTGAAAGTAATAGTCTTCGTTACACACAATGCTTGAGTGCAGAAGTGCATCGTCACTGCTGGGATGCGAGTGTGGTGGATTGAACTTGAGCCTCTATGTCTGTGCTTGCGATGCCGACCAACTTGTGAATTGCTCCATAAGCCTTCCAAGTCTGTTTTTTGTCACTCGATATTGCCGCAGAAGCAAAGACTACATTTTAGCTGAGCTAGCTTTTCCTGCTAGACCTATTAGCTGGTGGAATTACAGGAATGCAATAAAACAGCTCCCGAACCAGTGAGTTGAAATCAGATTCTCTTTAAAGATTATAATGCCAGATTGTGCGCATTTTCTCTAGGGGATCCTTCAACCGTAAAAATGTGCTACGCAAAAGATTAGTGCAATTTTAGTCAGTACATCTATGAATAGGAATGTGAAGAAAACACTGTGACTTGGCTTCTGGGGGGAGAGATATGAGATTAGAAACTTGAAGAAAGGGAAAATTACCAGAACTTTATTTCTAGTTTGAAAATTAACAGTCGGAACTTTAACTAGACAAGGCCCTTTTCAATTTCACTTGCATTAAAACTGAATCATTTCATGGTTGGAGATTGACGAGAATATAATTAGACACAGATAATTGTAATCTAAATTCACAATGCTAAACAATCACAGCTGACTGCGAGGTCCGAAAATTCCAAGGGTTTCAGAGAACAAAGGCTTTCCGACAGCAGGACCAAGACTGGTACAGTGAAGAGGAGCCGATGTATGCCACTACCATTGACATAGTATCCAATGTGAACAATTTCGTTACTTCATACAACCCATCTTCACAGAGATCGCCAACAGCTGAAGCCTGTACATTTGAGAGAACTTTCAGCGACTGAATAACAACAGACGCAAAGATCGTTTTGAGTTTGAGGTACATTGTTCTCTCGCCTAAGTCAATTTCCCATGTCCCGTGAATACGTGAATCAAAGCCACTCTCGCTGCCTCACTTTCTCTCTATACAACAGTGTTTGAATAAACTAGTATGGACACCAGTCAGTGAGATGTTCGACTCTTGAAGAGTCAAAAGTCGACTTGCTCTCACGACCGGGTATCTGTGATCTGCTATCGACCAATAATATATAGTTGTGGCAACTTTTTCTCTACTACCTGAATCCTTTCGTCATGTGCAAAAAGAGACGATTTACTGGTGAAGCTAGCGATGCTCAACCTCCAGTCTTATCCTTCCAAGACAATTTGCAGGATCGTATTCCCATCTCGACAATCAAAAGTTAAGAGAATCTGCAATTAAGTTGTTTTGTAGTTTGAGCGTGGCATGTTCAATTTCCAATCTTTGACAAGTAAATTAAAGCCCAGATTGCTAACATTCCTTCTCAACGATATTTCTCGAACAAATTCAAGAATTTCCGCACGTTTGACAACAACGGCTAGCAGGGACATCAAATGACACGGGAGCAAAGTAGGGCTTGTGCAACTCATCATACTTCTCATCTATGCACTGCCAGCATAGTGAAACCTGTTGAGGTTGCTGGTGGATATAGATCCACGTTCATTTAGGATGCAAACACCAACAGAACAGCATGTGGCAATTTCTCTCTCGTGAAAGAGAGCTGCATGACATGTCTGATCTACTGCTAATGATTCTCAAGCTACTTGAGATGTAGCAGAAGAATACCAAGCAGTGGATACTTAGAGTTGCATCCACAAATAAATTATTCTACCATGAAACCGAAGGAAACACTAGAAGGAAAAAGTATCGAGAAGCTCTAACTCATTTGATCGTGCTTCGCTGCTTATTAAAGCAACGTCAACAAAAGACTGTAAAGGGCGCATCACGTACCGATGCCATCTTTAAACAGTTCTATCGCTCTCTTTCCCTGTCCGCTGGGGTTCCTACTATTAAGAACCTGCAAGCCGAAACAGAAGGTGAGTAATGCCATCAAAACTGCAACCCAGCAATCACACTCCTCACTAGCCAACAGTACCGAATCAACCGTGAAACAAATGCAGCAACCTGAAACCCTCATAACTAAATTTATTCATACCTATAGTCTCAATATGATTGACAGCATCTTTTTCCTCTCTCTCACAGTCATCATCTAGATCACTACATGATTTATATAATGCGACAATGTGCGGCATCAAATGTCGGGATCAGCTCATAGATGCACGATCTACCGAAGAATCACCGCCTACTACTCAATGTGATCTTGTTCTCCCCTTACAGTTTCAAGTCTCAGGAGGCTTGTGATCGTCGCACATAGGTTTTCACTCAAAGCACCTCCAAGAGGTCAAAACCTTACTACGCTATACCTCGACCTCCGAAGCAACTTCGACACATCAGTCTTTCTCGGGTACCCTTCACCTTCACAATTAGAGACGTGAGGGTAATTAGCAGAAAGCCAAATTGAGTAAAGCGAGAAACAAAGACAGTGACGCCAAAGCATTTGTTACCTCAAGTAGGTGCTCTGATAGATCTTTCAGCGCAGAGTTTTTTCCACACAGTTGTGGGCATTGGTGCCATGGTCGCTCCGCACAATCAGATGAAGAAGACCACGCAGAGTCGCTATCAGCACGAGCTCGGAGAGCTTCGAAACCCTAATGCCAGCTGCGGGAGATGGCTCACGAGACCCATTGGCCTTCGCAACTGGCACTTCGAAGTTGTAGGAAGCGGGAGGAGTTCTCTACGAAGGGAACACAATGGAACAATAGATGAATGATCCTTTCTTATGTATTCACAAATCTATCCATAAATCTGTGTGAGGATTTCTGACATGGTATTCTGTGTTTTTTCATGTTGTGGTACAATTGATATACCTCAATTAGAACTTACAATATTGAGGTACATTAGTTTTGCATTTGAAACAACAAATGTACATAATTTATGTTGATGACAAGTCGATGTTTTTAAATTTGGATTGGATCTGAATGTGTGATCTAAAACTGGGTTTTTTGTAATCTTGTGGCAGGTAGTACCATGTCTTTATCAAGGTAACTAGTTTTTCGGATGACACTCAGTTGGTTTAGATACCGTTAAGCTTTAACTCCTTTTCCAATTGATTTTCACTCTCGACCACTGTGTGTAACTGTATCTTAGTACTTATTTATTTCCTCGTGTATTATTCATCATGGAAGAACGATGGCAGGATACGATCCGATATGGAATGATCCACAACTTCAAAAACGACAAATCAGCTTCGTGAAACTTGAAGTTTCGTCGTGCGGGTTGTGATATTAGTTTCTTGTTCTAAAATACTAACTAGATGAGACTTGACATGTGCGCTTGATGCGTTATTTCAATCCTATCCCTACTTTATGATGTCAGGAGCCTAACAATCCATCCAGAACCCAATTTTTGAAACAATTCAAGTCCGAAACAGAAAGGTTTAGTTAAATGCAGATCTCATTTGAGTGCTTACTTGTAAGCACTCATCTGGCCAAATCACAATCTCACTTTTTTTCATTTTACATGTACGTGTGCGTTTGCGTGTGCGTGGAGTTCACTCACTATATCTCTGCAATACACATAATAAAATTCATCATGTTCTGTTGAATGGTTCTTAAGAAATGTTAACCACTAGTGATTAAAATGTTTAAAAATCAGTCAACTGGCAAAGATGATATACTTACTAGATAATACAACCATGCAAAACTGCATTCCAAGGCTAGATTACGTTGTCAAACAATAACGTGCGACATCCGAAACCTGGTGACACTGAAAGCAGAAGATACTCTCATAACTACCAAATCAATAACTGCGACCCCACAAAGCCCATTTCTTCGCAGGTTTGCCTGATACGAAACACTTGGTTCCTGAAAAGGTGACCAGGCACAAAGAAGTCAGTTATTGCCAGATTCAAGTTGCAACAGAGCTTATCCTTCATACAAGAGATCCACCAAAAGCTTCCAGATGACAAAAAAATGTTACCTTCAGGAAGTGTGTTCGACACCATTGGAAGGGTATCCTGCTCGAATGGCATGCATAGGGTTTTAGCAGCACCAGCTTCACCCTTTGTGCGAGCCTTGACACTTTCCTCCACCTCCTGCAAATTCTCAAACAGGTCACTAAACCGACCAAGGGCTTACGAACAGCCTAAACCAGAGAAAGCTGAGTTACCCTATTGACACTTTCATTTCTTCTGATTCGCGGGATTGCTGACTTTGAGAGTGAAGCAACGCAGTTCTCGTCATTTTCTTCATTTAAGGTACTTGCAAGAGGAAGTAACCCAATTATAAGCCAACGCGATCCATTTTTATAAGTCCTTGTGGAGAACGGAAAGTAGGGAGATAATTTACCACTTCATCACACCAGGGAGCGAGGACCATCTTTTTATTGTTCAAAGCTGCTATGAAATCATCCCAGTTGTCAGCAACTGTAATGCACGAAGTCCTCTCTTCCCGAGCTTTTTCCAGAAGCGCTTTCTGCATTGTTTCCAAGATCTCGCCGATCTTCTCTACAAGGTTGGCCATGGGAATATCCTGAGATCGCCCCTCAGTTTTATCTTCCAAGTCTCGACGAACGACTCGAACCTGTAATTTCAGACAATAAATTTAATCTCAACAGTAAAAGCAGCACCCAAACCACTTCACAACAGAATTATATGTAGTAGTAATCAATCAGTGATGGTCGCAACGAAATCCTCATAGTTAATGCTATACCTGCTTATTTTCAATGTCCCTGGGACCAATTTCAATTCTCAAGGGTACACCTTTTAGCTCCCAATGAGAGTACTTCCATCCAGGAGAGTAATTATCTCTCAAGTCATCCTTCACTCTAAAGCCTGCTTCCTGCAACTGTCGGGTAACTTTCAAACATTCTTCGGAGGGGTCAATTCCCTTGAAGGGTACAGGAATCACAACAACCTGGATAGGTGCTACTCTTGGAGGAAGAACCAGCCCTTTATTGTCACCATGAATCATCACCATCACTCCGATCTGCAATCAGAAAAAATCCAGTTAATCGTATAAGAAGCGTTACAAAGCAGAAGTTAATTCAAATGGTTTCTCATGTTATCAACCCAGAAGTCGATTTCAAACTAGGAGCATTTCGACTGCGTGCTCTAAATACATGAGAACGAAAAGCTTACCGTTCTGGTGGTAAGACCCCAAGAATTTTGCCACACATTTTTCCGTTCCCTGTTCTCGTCTTCAAATAAGATGTCGAACATCTTGGAGAAATTCTGCCCCAAACAATGCGATGTTGCACCTTGTACTCCGCGCCCCGTGGAAGGGATAAAAGCCTGGGCAAAGGAATGGGAAAATTATTCACTTAAACTAACACACGCTATCTTTGAAAACATCAAACAACGTCTATTTCTGCTTGTATGTGAAGGCAACGACTTGTTCCAAGTGATACTGGTGCAGGTTTGCAAACCAGAAGCTTGAGGAGCGTGGTCAGTAATGCAATAAAGATGCTAGTGGATGAACCAAATCGAATCACTATACATCATAAAGATGGAAGGAGTACCTCTACAGTAGTAGTATACAGACCACCAGCAAACTTCTCGACCTCACTTTTAACACCCTTGATGACAGGAACGGCTAGGAGCTCCTCATATACCCTGCGGTAGAGCTCCAAAATTTGATGTACCTGACAACTCACAAATTCGAATCTATATCAGTGTTGTTAGCTAGGTATATTTCTAAATGAGTGAAGAGAAAATATTTGTAGTCCAGCAGAGAAAAGCCTAATCTCATCAGAAATCTGGATTAGCGATGTTAAGACTACAATAAATTCAATGCTAACCTCGACATCTGCTTCCTCTTTTGTAGCAAATGCAGTATGACCTTCTTGCCATAAAAATTCACGACTCCTGCAAAGTGAAGCGAAACACTCGAATCAATTTTTTTTTAAGTAAATACCAACTCTGCAAGGATGTAACAATCAACACCCAGATAAAAATCAACAAAACATTTTTCAACCGCCTTTATTCCGGAAGTCACCACTCAACCAAGACCTTCACTTGCTATACTCGAACACTGTATACCAGGTAAGATATTACTGGAACTTGAATTGTATCATAGAGGATACTTTAAACAATTTAATGACTTAATCATTGCAACTTCAGTACAAAACCCGAGGAAACTGCAAAAGTCGATTTCCGGGTTTGTTAAGTCTCACCTGATAAAAGGGGTGGGGTGCTTAAACTCCCACCGCACCACGTTACACCACTGGTTGATTCTAAGAGGAAGATCACGATGACCACGAATCCATTTAGCGAAAATTGGGTACATCACCGTTTCACTCGTAGGCCGAATAGCAATAGGCTCTTCAAGCTCTGAATCCCCAGATCTCGTTACCCAAGCAACCTCAGGGGCAAAGCCTTCAACATGATCTTTCTCTTTTGTCAAGGCCTTCTCTGAAACAAAAAGAGGGAAGTAGGTGTTCTCGATGCCCATTTTCTTAATTTCCTTGTCAAAAAAGTCCTGCATTTACACGCACGGACACATGAAAATCTGTCGTAGTCCGCATCCCACAATCAGACAACATAGCGTTGACGCACACAGAAGGCTGAGCTTTAATTTTCTTTATAAGCTGTTAAATAGACAATGTTCCAATAAATGGAGGCGAAGGCTTCATCTGAGTATACCTTAATAGATTCCCAGATTGAGTAAGACCATGGACGAAGGATGTAGCAACCTGAGACGTCGTAGTATTCAATCATTTCTCCTCGCACAACGACCTGAATTACGCAGACATGAATTTACCGACTCCAACAAAGGTGATAAAAACTTACTAGTGAAATTGAATTCGATCACACCTTTCTGATCTCTTTCCTTCCTCATCTCACTAGAACGAACTAGGCCAAGAATCGACAATAATAATAAACAGAAAAATACAAATTGGGTAGGGAATACACAAAATATTACTGGGTGATTGGATAAGATTTCTATTGTTGTACCCTAATGAACGTTGATCCCTATAGTGATGAAAATGAAAGAGACGGCCGCACTGATGCACACAACGCTACTCTACGTACAAGAAATTCGTAAAGACGACTCCTTGAGTCTTCAAATATTTTCAGAGGCTAACTTACATCTGAATACCACTCTCCGAAGTTTTCATCCTTCTTAAAAGCAAGACCAAGTCCCGATTCCTTCTTCACCTCCTTCTTGGCTGCCCAAATAAACACAAAGGAATGAGAACATTTGCTTATGCTACGATGGTTCCATGAATGCTAATGATTACCGAGATCTGAGCAAGGAGTTGCAACTGAGTACACAACCACAGCCGTATTCTGTCCGTGCGAATCGATTTCCGACTACATAAGCACCAATCAAGACTCTCGATTTGGACCAGTTCATGAAACATAAACACTCGAAAAATCCCTTAAGTACGATGAAGTCTCCAAAAGAAGTCACTCAAAAACAGAAGTCCATTACTGCACTGCGAGCAGCTTCCTAACCTCCTCCTTGTGCGCCTCCGTGCACCACTGGCTTCTTGTCTTTCACAACCTTCTCTTTAGGAGCCTTCTTTGGCTTCTCTTTGGGTTTCGCTTCCGGAGCTTCGGCGCCAGTAACGCTCACCTTCTCAGCAACAATCTCATCAGTGACACTCATGCGCTCAACCCCTTGTTCAGCCATTTTCAAATCCTCCATGCCCACCAACAACGCTTAAACTCTAAAACCCCACTCAGGCTAACGCATTAACAAATGCAAGCCTGGTGAGAGAGATAGCAAGTGACCCCGGGAGCCCGAAACCCAGAGACTTTTTAGGGGTTGGACTCTGTTTCTCCACACCGTTGCCCTAAAATGAGAATTAGGGTTTCTGTGTCATTTGGATATAATGGACACAAGAAACTAACACACAATTAACATTCCAAGTCTTAACGAGGGCTCTAGTGTACGCGCAAGTATTGTTGCATTTTTATTGAAATTTTGCTTTTGCAATCCATGGAAGAATGAGTATACGAATACATAAATAAAATTGCATAGTACCCAATAATTCCTATGGCGCGTACGAGACACAAAATATGGGGCTTTTCGTCGGACGTATTCCTTAGCTCCTCGTCGAAATGAGGACGAAAGAGAACGATAAATACGCTCTTTGGTGGTGGCTCCATGGCCATAGGGGGGATGGGGGTGGGGAGCGTGGCGTTTCCAATCACCGTGCAGCCATGAGAAGGAATATTCTAAAAGATTCGCTACCTTTCAAAAGGTTTCACGCCTCGTTTGGGACGCCAGGATATGGTCTCGTTCGAGCTGGAAAGTGTTTCCCACTCTACAATTCACGCAGAAGTGAAGCGGGGAATGCAATCCCTTCTTCCTTTGTCGAGGTTAATGCAGTTTCGTTGCCCTACCACGCCATATCTCGTGACCTCTTCTCGCACCCGGTTCGCAATCTCTTCATATATCCCCTCTGTCTCGCTCTCTCTCTCACGCTGTGTTTTGGGTTCTTGATTGCGGTTTCCGTTTCAGTCTGCAATTTGTTTGTAGCAGTGGTAGGGGGTCCTTCAATTCCTTAGTGTGTTTTTTTGAGAATTGGGTCTCTATTTTTGTTGCAGTGTCACCTGTTCTGCGTCCACCCATTTCCCTGTGTTTGCGACAGCTCACGACAGGGTTGGATTGCAGTCAGACTTAGCTCAGTGAGCAAACGTTTTGCCTTTGTCATTCTTCTCATTAGGGCATTACATACTGTCTCATCAAGGTTTGATCCTCACGGGAAGTTATTGGCTTCTCTCTCTCACCATCTTAGGATCGGTGGCGTGCAGAGGACAGGCCACTGAAGCTTCGACGCACATCCGGTGCAATGAATTCGGCTCATTTGAGTGCTGGGTAGTATCTAAAGGTGGGAGTTTTGGTGTCTGAAGTTTCATTTCTTGACGAAGTGGAATGTTGGAGTTCAAGTTCGAGGAAGGTTTAGGCGCTGTGGAAACAATTCTGGGTACTCGATCAAGGTGAATGAAGGACTTGTTGGTGGTTCTGGAGCTGCGTAGTTGATTGTAATTTTTCAACTATTTATTTTAAGCCGAGGGGGGTTATATTTGTCCTCTAAATCTTCGATGCACTTACAGGCCGCCGTCACGACCAACGGAGTATGAAGTATGCTGGAATTGGAGTACTTTACTGAATTTGATGCTTGAGTCCTGGAAATCGCCATATGATTTCTTTTCTCGTTCGATGGTGCTTATAGCAGACACGCTATAGTCCAGCTTGTCTTTTCCTTACGTTGTTTACAAGATGGCCGCTTTGGTGGGGGGCTTGGCTTTGGCTTTGAAGCACGGAAAGCCACAAGAGAAGAGTTTTTGTCAAAATTGTTCGATCAAATGTATAAATCAAGTCCACGCGCAGCTCATCCCGTGCGCGAAGATGATGGGATCTGAAGTGTGCGGTGTTTTTGGGCAAGCGCTAAGGTTCAGAGTGAATTCCAACAAGATTCGTCTGCGCTCCCCTTCTAGAAAATCGGCCACTGTATGTAGTCTATTTGCTGGAATGGGAAATCCCAAGTTCAGTTGCTTGGGAGAATTCAAGGGTTTCATGGAAGAATTACGATTTCAAGTTATGAGGTTGCTTATGAAGAAGCAAACGAAGGAACAGTTTGCTAGACGCTCACCTACTGCGGAGGAATATATGAAGTTTCTAGTGGACAGCAAGAAGGTCTACGAAACCGTGGAGGCGATTGTCATGAATTCCTTGCATCCTTCGTGTGAGCCAAGTTTCTCACGTCTCAATGATGTTGCGCAATGTTCAAAACAACTCAGGTTTTGCCCAAAAAGAAATGTATACACAAAAGGGAATGTAACTTTGGGCTAGGTCTTCTAAGTACTTGGTCTGGGTTTACTAGTAATCATTTAAGCGGATAGTTCTCTGAGAATATCAGGCATGGTTCATTTTCAGTAGGCCTTGTACAATTATTAGGGGTTTTACGTTATTTGCTGATGTGTACAACTAAAATAATGTGGCATGTGGAGCAATCTCATACCCCTGCTCAATTTAGTCTTCCTAAGGGACATTCCCTTGCTTTCAGCCACTTAGTGGTGCAACTACTTTGCAAGAACTTGCGTTTTGTCTCTTTGTCTTTTTGTTGGCAACCATTACAATGAAGATGATTATTGTTCCTAAGCTTCTTCTGATTAGCAATTTTGACGCATTGTGCAGATGAAATCTTCAGAAAGACAGGATTAGTGAAAGTAAGAAGGTTGACTAAGGAATTAGCTTGGTTCTCAAGCCAGGGTTACGCTATCCCCGAAGCTGGCCCAGCTGGAATTGTGGATGCGAATCACTTGATGGACCTGTCTCAGACTAATGCACCTGCGTTCATTAGCCATCTTCACAATGTCTGCCATGCCCTATCAGCTGGAGATCAATTTCTTGTACAAAAGGTGTGTGCATCCAAGTGCAGTTAAGGCGGTTTTTCGAAGAGTCCTATCTGCCCAGATTGCAGACTACTCTATTCTAGTTATTATTTTCAATAACTTCGCCTACATAATTGAAAAATCATATTGAGATATAATAAATTTTCAGCAGCTAGCGGCGCTTTTGCAATGTTTGAAAAACATTTTACCTTCTGTTTTGGCAGTGTAGCAGTTGTCTCATTTCAGCAGATGACAGGGCTTTGCAGGAGTAAGTGAGGGTCTAGCAAACGGGAACTTGACGCCTTTACAGAGCAAAGTAAAAGAGACTTCCTTGGATTGGAACGTGGTTGTAAGAATAGCTGGAAGAATGCTGTTAATTTGGACTGCGTCCGTGTGCGTGGCCATGTGGGCAGCCGGTACGTTGTAACATCTTTTTCCACCTTCACAACGCCTTGTCATAGAACAGGAAGGGTTGGATCCCTTGGAAAGAAACACAGGAAAAAAGCCGGATTTTATCGTGTATCATACCCGAAATCCTTAAGAACGCTTCTTTCCCTTATGCCGGATTACCGTGTTTGAAGCCATTGTTGGCTAATATCAGACAAGGTAAGCGACTCAATTGATGCCATTGTGGGTACCTCTGCCAGGAAGTGGGCTAGCCTATGCAAGTGGAGGTAGCTCAGGGTCGCTGGCTCCACCTCTAGTAAGCAATATGAAAATGAAATCATCTTTAGTTGAGATGTTGAAAGCTATGTGGCCCAAGATGCAACAGGTCTTCGAGGTGCTGAGAGATCAAGGACTTTTTCTTTCTCTATTACTGGCTCTATCTGCTTTTTTTTCTATGGCAGAGACTTCTATTACGACACTCTGGCCATGGAAGGTATGCAGTCCTTACTTGAAATGTCACATCATTCCTCACCAAATTTACAGATATAAATTTCTGCGGCCTAACAAACAGTAGTCAAGTTCTCACAATTACGAGTTTTTTATTCGATCGTGGTCTCTGTGGTAAGCCACGCCTCTAGTTGTGACTATTTAATTGTTGTGGTCGATTGTATCAGGTTCGTGAACTTGCAGAAAAGGAAGATGAAGGTGGAGTCTTCCAAGTTCTACAGCAAGATGTCACTCGCTTCTTGACTACCATCCTGATCGGGACAACGTACTGGCTCATTCATTTCTTACAGCTTTATGTTCTTAAAATTTATTATCATGGCTGAATCGGGCAGACAGAGTCTGAGTTTAGAGTCACGTTTGCACGAACAATGCATTTGTTTCACTGAAATTCCTACCAATATTACGCTGCGTTTGCAATGCTTTGTGGATCAGTCAACTGCCAAGTTGGTTCTTACGAGGATCAAGGTTCGGACCTGCAGCATAAAAGCTAGCTCTGTTCATACCATGAATTATATCGTCACTCACGTGAATTCTTTTTGTTTTTTTGTCTTTATAAACAGGGTGGTTAACATTGCAGCAACAGCAATGGTTACTGAAGCAGCAACAGCCTTATTTGGAGAAGCTGGCGTCACAGCTGCTACAGGTGTTATGACGGTGGGTGATTTTAGAAACCTTGAATGTACTTCGTTCAAGTGTACAAGTCAGATCTTTGGAGAAATTTTGGTGCCTGATTAAGTCATTCTGGGTTTGTACGATGGTCAGTCATGAGCGATTCTTACTGGTTGTGCAGGTTGTTCTTCTTTTAGTTACAGAGATTGCTCCCAAGAGCATTGCCGTGCACAACGCTACAGAAGTTGCGCGAGTAGTGGTAAGTGGTGGTAGAGTTGCTGCAGTCAATATGATTTTCATTTAGTACGTGGTCTATTCTATCGTAAGCATTCATAAGCTTCACTAGCTATGTGTGAAAGTCCTTGCAGAATTTGAGTCGTGAGATATAACTTTACATGGTGCAGGTGAGGCCTGTGGCTTGGCTATCTGTAATTTTGTACCCGGTAGGACGCCTGGTGACTGCAATGTCTACAAGTTTGTTGAAACTTCTTGGGTTGAAAAGCAGTGGGTAAGTTTGACATCTCTTGGTACCATATGTGGATCGATCTTTCCTTAAAGGATATTACATTGTGTGAACAAATTGCTGGCTCTTGAGAAAATTTCGTCATAGTTGGATCAACTCTTTGTCGTCTTCGTCTTCTTTATTCTTCTACAAAGTCTTGTAGAATTGCTTCTCTTTCTCAACTCGGTGTTACTTGTAGTTGATTTACAGGAAGGAGTGTCTTGGTTGCCTTCCTTATTTGCTGATTGTTAATCCATGAGAAGCTGGTAGAGAAATCAACATATATCTATGGACGGCTAATTCAATTCCTTTGATTTTACAGGGAGCCTTTTGTGAGTGAAGATGAGCTTAAGCTTATGTTGCGAGGTGCTGAACTTAGTGGAGCTATAGAGGAGGAGGAGCAGGTATGATCACAATTTCAAGTTGATGTCTCTACAGTTTTTAAATTTGAACTCTGCAGAAGGATCTTTCTGCAAAAAGAGACTTACAATTTCCAGCTTGTTATATTCTTTACCGTGCACTATATTAAATTATAAGTTGTATCACAATACAGAATCTTGACGAGTCTTCGTATATATTTTAGTATTTCCTCATATATATACTAGGTTTTCTTGATTCCTAACCAAGGCAGCCACGAAGGAAATTATGTACAATGTGTGAAAGCTACATTGGATGTTATGGGGTGGTTAATAAAACAAAAATGGCTGTATGTTGCAGGACATGATAGAGAATGTGCTTGAAATCAAAGATACATATGTTCGGGAAGTTATGACTCCTTTGATAGATGTAGTTGCCATTGATTCGGCTGCAACTTTGCTGGAATTCCGCAACCTTTGGGTGAAGCAGCAGTACTCAAGGTATCATTCTTTTCTCCAAATTTGAGTTTTGCTTGTAGTCTAAGTGAAAGTTTTGGCGTTATTCTCTGTTGTCATACATTATCGACATCATGTGTTCTCTTATGGCGGTGCTTTAGTGTTGTATTACTGGATGATTATTGTTTGAGTTGGCACAGATATGTAGTTGTAAGTACTAACCTTCGAGTTTAATAAAGACAAGATCAATGTCACATATCAGTGTAGCTATTGTAATAGCCTGCAGTCAATGCTTTTCGTAGGTTTTCTTGAGTTTCTCTGAAGCTGTGCTTTGTCCAAGTTACTTGCTTATATTGGACGATTGCCTATGTTATGAAATTCAGAGTTCCAGTTTTTGAAAGGCGTATTGACAACATTGTTGGCTTAGCATATCCCATGGATATGCTTGATTACGTGGAACAAGTAATGCATCTATACAGTCAGTATTTTATTCAGTTCCTCTGGTTTTGCAAAGGATGTGTATTTCTTTCATGGACACTTCTATGTTGGAGTGCATATCGAATGGTTCAGATTGAGTGAGGATGGATTATGTGTGTGTATGATGTTCAGGATAGTAAATGCTGACATCTACTTGGCTGCAGACAGAATTGTTGCAAAGGATGAATGTTGGACGCATTGCTCACAAGCCAGCTTACTTTGTTCCAGGTAGGCAGACCCTGAATAAGAGGTCTTTTAAGCTTCTTAAGATTATTGAATGTTTAATCCAACTCGTGATGGTTTGAGTCATCTTACTTTTGGTGAAGGTTTGTATGCATGTAGCTTTTCTTATATCTGAGTTTATGCAGACTCTATGTCCGTGTGGAATTTGCTGAGGGAGTTCAGGATACGGAAAGTACACATGGCAATTGTACTCAATGAATACGGTGGTACTGTTGGGGTGAGGCTCTAAACACACATGGTAATCTTCTTGTTTTATTTACTGTACTGAACCTGTCTTGCAACATAATTGGCGAATGCCTCACACTACTTTTGATGGCACGAACTCGACTTATCTGTCTGTTTCGTCGGAAGAACAACTTCAATTCAACTTTAAAATTAAGGCTGTGTTGAATCATTTGATATTTGTAATCAATACAAATACCGATGCTAACAAAGTTGCACCATGCGTTATTTAGGTTGTAACGCTGGAAGATGTTGTGGAAGAGATTGTTGGGGAGATTTTCGATGAAAATGATTCAAAGGTTGGTCATTGTTTACAAGGTCTTGTTTGGGAATGAACAACATCTTTCTGAATCGATCCTTGCAACCAGCTCATGAGCTGCCACGTTAAGAGATCATGCACATTTACTATGCTGAGGTGCATACTTGTACACCTATATCATCAGGCTTTAATTGGGGGGCTCTTGGACTTGTGAATGCAGGAAGAGATCAGAAAGAAAACAGGTTACGTGGTCCAAAGGGCCGACGGGGTTTTTGACATTGATGCAAATACGGCAGTAGAGGACCTAAAGGAGGCTCTAGAGATTAAACTTCCGGAGGTAGGTTACATGTGCAAGGACTTGGAAACTTTTGGTGAACGATACAATAGGAGTTCACTTCATATTTTTTACTACCTATTATTCACACGTATTTCTTTGAAACTACATCTGACCCTTTGTTTCCTGGTTTGGAGATGCAGAACATAAAAAATATGGTTTTTGCAATCTGACAAAGTGATGGTTAGCAGGGTTCGCATCGTTATGAGACCGTGTCAGGTTTTGTATGTGAAGCGTTTGGATATATTCCTCGCACTGGAGAGAGTACCAAAATTACGCTTCGCAACGCAGATGCTGAAGAGGGTGAATGGCGTGATGGAGAGAACCAGGGTGAACATCATGAAGATCGCCGTGAGAAGGAGAGAGAGAAATTTCAAAAGTACCGCCTGGAGGTATTATCAATCTATACTGAAATACTAGTGCAAGTTTGAAGTCTCCGTACCGGTTTGTTGCTTGATTAATACTAAGCTGGTTTGTTGAGAACTTCCAGATTCTCGCCGGTAATGCTCGGAAGGTAGGGTCGGTGCGGTTTGAGAGATTGGAGGGCACCACCCAGGGTCGGGAGGAATCTGAGAGGAGTTTTCCCAGAGGTTTGCATGTAGACAGGTACGCACATGTTTGTTCCATGTGTAGAGCTTTGACTGGGAATATAACTCTTAATTTTTGCTGTGAGCACGATTTCTTTTTACTCAGAGCTTACGTCCGTCTGCAATAACTACGATACTTTGCTTTGCCAGGACTTTTTCTTGTATTAGTCGTAGCATGCAGAATCTTCCTACGTTATTACTATTTTGAGATGGCAGAGTAACATGCAACTCTCACATCTAACGAACACATACTATTTTTTTTCTTTTTCCTTTTAGCTTGAATTTTATCTACTTCTGTATCACATTGGGTATATTGTCACCACTTGTGCAGTTCTGCTGATGAAGATGTTCGCTGGAAAGACCCTACAGAAGTCTCAACAGAAGAGGAATCGGATAATGATTTATGCATACCTGATGAGGACTTAATAGATGGACCTAAAATTTATTTACCCGGAAGTGTGCGTTGCAACGAGGAGTTAGACTTCGTGTCATCTCACGGTCTTGCCAAAGTAGGTGCTCAAAACTGGCAGGTGGAAATGGTTGAGGATACCCCAAAAGACGGAATGGAAGTAGGTGGTGAAGCACACGATAACGTTGCGTCTGCCGTTGCAAGCTTGACAGATAAGTGGGAAGTACAAGAAGCACAAGTTGAAAGGCGCCGGAACAGAAGACGGAAACAATCGGCCGAGGCCATAATGGAGCTTGACAGACAACAAAGATTCAATCAACTAAGGTAACAATTGTTAGGCTCACTCATATTATACATGGGTGGAAATGAAAGGGTCGGTTGGGATTCCAGCAGGTATCAACATATTTAGGAAGTTGGCAAAACAATTCGACATTTTTCAGGAGATACCATCATGTGCATAGGTTTTCTCCTCCTATCCTTATCGTTTTTAGTTTAGATCTGTTTGTGTATCTTGCGAGATGGATTTGTAAGTTGTAAGAGCCTTATGCTCAGATTGCTTATGTCCACAAACATCTGGCTAAGTCTTTAAGCCATGTGTTGATTTTAGGTTCCATGCGGTTCACAGTAGAGTCTGTGCAGATTAACCGTGTGAGAAAAGACTATTTTGGTCCCGCTTGTAATTTTGTCCGACCTCTGTAACATATTACAATTTGTTCTGGGACACATTTGAGAGCTCGAATTGTTCCCTGCGTTCATAGATTGTTTTAGATTGTATCAACCCGATGGTCAGTTTGAACTGGAGACTGGCAGACTAAGTAGCTCTCAAGAGAAACCTGTATCTATGCCAATTTGGTTTCATTTTTTGATTCCAATCATGAAAATTTTATGTTCATTCATCTGTCGAATGCACATAGTTGATGTTGCTTTTGTCCATACTTAGATATTAATTTTTGTATATATATATATATATATATATATTTACACACATACCTACAGATAAAAGTTGAAATAAAATACAATAGGATATATTAAAAGGTGTATCATATTACTAAATTATGTGTAATGAATGTAGTTGTTCTCTGTTAATCTAGTTTGAATCTTTGAAAGGGAGAGGTAGTTTTAGATCAGAAATAAAGTTCCAAATTTTATGTTTCATTTTTCCATCTTTTGTCATTTATGTAGTACGAATTTTATAGAACTGTCTATTATAAGTTTTCTTAAAAATAATATTTTTTTACTTGCAAAGGGCAATAAAATATGATACATAAAGATATATTGTCAATATCAATTAAAATTAGTTATTATTATTTTAGAAACAAACACAAGGTATATCTAATGCAGTAATAGAGTAGATTATTACACCAAATTATTTAGCTTTTTATATTTGGAGGCAAATTTAAGAGTACTAGGTACATAGATTAGTTAGGATTAGTTCAATTATATTTTTGTGTAAAATCACAATTTCAATTTCAATTGAACTTAGGGATTCTAGAATTCTATTTGTTCTTTCTAGAGTTCAATATGTGTTTAGATATCTATAACTTGTCTCATCTCTTGAGGAGGAACAATCCATGTTGTGGGCTTTTTTTTTTAATATTTTTTTGATAAAATTCCAAAAAAATTGTCCATATTTGATGAGACCTTTCTAAAGCCAAACTTCTAATTAGAAGAATACACCAAACTTTATTTTCAAAGATGAATTTTCTTTTGTGAATCCACATAGTCCATAGACAAAGATCCCTTGTCAAAGACTAGATCTTACAAAAAGTTTTGGATCTTGAAGGGATGATTCCAACAAAAATGGCTTTTTGCCAAGTGAAAGATTTTCAAGGATACTAATTCTAAGAATTGGAAGTTAATTTGTATGGAAGCAAGGTGGGCCAATCTTAGATATTAAATAGAATATGTCATGAGATTGTCTCCAGTAATCTAAGAATATGATAAAGAATCAAAGAACAATTCACTAATTAGACCATAGAAGAAATGAATTCCAAAGGCTCTTCTTCTTGTTTGTTTTGTAATACGTCTTATTTGTTTGCACAGATAGAGTCGTCATTGGGAACAAAAAAATTCAAAAAACTTGCCACATAAGTTTTTTCATCTTCCACAACTTGTTTAAGCAACAATTCTTAATTATAGAAGAAAGTTCAAAACTAAAAAGCTATTAGAAAAAATTAAATATGTAAAACAAGATAAGATAAACCATTTTTTTTCATTTGCTTCAACAAATTCCAAAAAAAGTTGAAATGCTACTTCTATAAAGTGAATAAACCTTGTAGAATATCCAAAACAATCAAAAGTTGTTCTGGCTTTTAAAAAGCTGTAGGATTTAATTTTTACAATTTAATATTTATATTTATTAATTTAATATTATTATATTATTAATTAATATTTAATTTAAAATTTTACTTAACATAAAATTAAAACAATATTCTTGCCATAGGCCTAAAATTGTAGGTCCTTTTAAACCTTCTACATTCATCTAAATCTTTGTAGAATATTCTATTTTTTTTTTTTCTTTTCAATTTTTCATTAACAGTTTAGAAATGAAGTATTGTAGGTAGTTTCTCTCTAAATTTATTTAACATAAATTTAGACAAATGCTTGTAGTCTTGATGCACTATTAATATTAACAAGAATAAAGCTATTTTTAGTTTTTCAACTCTTTTTTGAATCTTATTCCTCTCATGGTTTTTAATCTTTAATTACATAGATAATCACAATTTGATTATTATGTATTTTATTATATTATAATTTAATTAATTTTTGAAATAATTCTTATTTTCTAGTATAAATATAATTCTTTTGTAACAAATAAATTAAGATGTACATTTTGATTTATTTTTAAGACTTCTAACTTTGATTTAAAAATATGTTTTTTCTATAAATGTAATTTTAAAATCTGATATTAATCATGTTAATTACTTACAATATTTATGCAAAAGTTTGATAATTGCTTCAATTACAATTTAAAATTAATATATAAAAAAGAAATATAAAATAAATAAAAATACAAAATAAATTTTAAAAAATTAAAAATCTTTCTTTTATAAAGTAAGATTGAATTAGAAGATTAAAATAAATAAATAAATAAATAGATATATTTCTATTTCAAAAGGACTATAATTCTTATAGATCTTCCAAAATCTTTAGATAACACATGAAAAAACTATATTCTTATTGCAATCTAAGTGAAGAATCTTACATAAATATAATATCTAAATATATTTATATACTAAAATTATAAGAAATTATAGTTAAGAAAAATATTAAAAAAAATATTCACAAATATCATCTTATAAAAGCTTTAAGAATTTTCATGAAAAAACCAAAGGTTATTACACCTAAGAAATTTTATGGAATAAAGTATAATTCTTCACACTTTATATAAAAAATTTAATTCTAAATATGGTGATATTCTTGTTATTTAAAATATATATGTATATATATATATATATATATATCAAGTATCTTATATTTATTTTTTTAATTTGAAAATTGTTTTTCAATTGGATTTATAATTGAAAAATCATTTTCAAATGACTTCAAGAATTTTACAAAATAATTTGTCAAACATTTGGAGATAGTGATTGTAAGTGGTTGCAAATAGAAAGATTCAATAACCAAAAAATTAGTTGTATTTTATTACAATTTATGTAGTAGGATTTTAATAACTCACATATAATCATAATTAAAACTATATAATTTTTAAAACTTAGTTTTATTATTTTTTATGGAATGATTTGGTATCTTGTTTAATATAAATTTGAAGTTTAATGGCTCAAAAGAATCTACTATTTTAGCTATTACCTGTAATAAAATTTTAAAAACAAATTTTTATTATAAGAAATAATTAAGTTTTCACTTCTAAGAATTTAAATGCCAAGAACACATTCCAAAAAATGGAGATCCAATTCACGATTGAAGTCAACTACAAATGAATGATTGCCCAAACTCAATGGATGCATGAATTAATAATTTGATGGATGAACAAATGGCAATATATCTCGATCGGGTGTAATGCTGTTCATACTACGCACATTGCTCTTTCTTTATTCTTAGTTTTTTTTTTTATTATTATTTTTTATTAATTATAATATATTTATTTTTGCTTGATTAAGGCAGCATGGGTCTAGATAAGGGTGAGCTTGGATTAACAATAGAGAGCGCTCATGTCAATGATGGTAGAGGGCTAGAAAATAAGAAATAAATAAAAAAAATAAAAAAATAAAACTACCATACCTACCTCGATTGACTAACAATTACCTCTGCCGATCTGTGCTATTTTTGGTTCTAGAGTATTTACTTTTATGCTTGATACAAATGATCTGGAATTTATTCTATGTACAATCGAAATTAAATTGGAGTCTTGTGATTCTTCGAGGTGTTTTATGCACCTTAGTTGGATTTTAACCCACGCAATTTGTCTGTAGTCTCAAAAATCCTGCCATATTAGTTGTTTGATTTTCTTTGAGCTCCAAGATATGAGATTGAAGATTTTGTCATTGAGAGCCAATCATATACTCTAGAGCATTTTGCATCTAAGAAATACCAAACTTTGTCAATTCTATGGAAGTGCCAGAGAATTTGATGTGTGAACAAAGCTTGTTTTCAAACTGAGGGAAATTGGGACATAGACCTTAGGGACTAAATTATTTTTTTAAGTAGAAGGTTGATGAAGTTCTACACTTGTTTGGCGATGTTGCATTCCTAATAGCAATAGAGAATGTTTTCAATTATCCTCTCGAAGCATGTGGAGCATGTGATATCAATCTAGTTTGAAATGCACCTCTTCTATTGATTTATTGCAATTTCTTTGTACCAAATTTGTTAAATGAGTCCTGCCTCTTTGTAGGACCAATTGTTGTTCTATGGATTATTTGACTTAAATTTAAAATTAAGAGAAAGAAACAATTGTCACTTATCTTAACTTAGATGAATGGAAGTTGTCATTTATGAAACAACAATCTACCAAGTTGGATAGTGTAGTGAATAAATTCAAAATTATCCGACCATAGGATACAACCGAGGTTTCCCTATAGTTCTTTGATTTGTCCATAGAAGAAGATGATCATAAACTTTTGTGGACCTAATTTAATACTTTGTAAGAGTACAAAGTAGATTGTGCAATGCAAAGGTCTAAGGGTGGAAAGTATTGTTACAAGTGACCATGATGTAGGCTGGACTTCAAAGGTTTTTTGTTGCAGTAAAAAAGTCATAACCTATTCTTGTGAGGTACTAATAAGGCCTTGCAATGTTGTGCCTTGACATACCATCACTGGCAATGGGGCATCTAGGGTGGAATAAATTGCATACTATTTTCATGGTAGAGAATGGAAAGAATTGTAGATTAGAAATCAACCTCCATTATTATGCAAGTTTACCACTGTGCAGGCCCATTGGAGGATTTTGGCAGATTGGAGTTCAAATCTTGCAGCAGCTTCAACTTTAGATAGGAACTACATGTTTGTCATGCACTAGTGCATGGCAGACAATTTATAGTCCAATTGCACAAAGTTCCATGGGGCCTATGATTAGTGCTCATGGGCCTGCAATAAAAAAAAAACCCCACCCTTCTTCTTGCGACAACATGTCTTCCAAGCTACCCGAGTATGGATGGGATAGTTAGTACCAACCCATAGGAAGTTTCTGACTTGGCCTACAATTTTTCAGATGCCCCCATGGTTCCGCCTTATATGACCAAGAAGTAGAGAATAGCTGAAAGAAGCATCTTATTTACAATAGTTGCTCTTCCGGGCATGTTGAGCGTAGTGGTGGTCCAATATTACAGTTGCTTTTCTATGCAGGTAAGGAAGAACTGGTCCACATCTGTGACTTTGAGGGAGAGGCCGAAGGAAGTACCCACTAGTTTCGATACTTCGACATTATCATAGGC